TGACCTGAAGTAACTCTGTAGACCAGGCTGTCTTTGAACTCTCAGAGATCCGCCTGTCTCTGCCTCCCAGGCATTCGGGATTAAAGGTGTACACTACTACACCTTGAACTCACAGAGATCTGTTTGTCTCTGCCTTCTAGGCACTGGGATTAAAGGCGTGTGCTACCACACACAACTCTCTTCCTTTTTTTGTTTTTTACTTTAAAAACTTCAACTTTTAGTCTGCATATATTTTTAACACACTGTAAACCATTTAAAAATTTTCTTTGTCTTTGAATCTCTCTTTACTGTATATCTCTCTTTTTCTGACCACATGAGTCTTTAATTTACCAAGCAATGTCAGTAGGATTAAAGGCGTGGCTTTGCCAGCTAGATCCAGTCCATTCCTTAGCTTTCCAGCCTCATGGCTGAGGTACTGGCTGTAGCCAGCAAGCGAGCTTCAGCAGCCTGTGCTAGCAAACCGCACAAACCGCCTGCGTAAAAGAGTCAGAGTTTGTCCTGGCAGGACAGCCCAGAAAGCCGGCATTTTTAAATGGCGCAGCTTTTTTCCTGCTACGGCTGAAAACCGAAACGCATGCGTTCAGCTTTTCGTCAACACCGTTTAAGTGTTTCGTGGCAGGACCTCTTAATGAGCTGCAGGCTTTGCAGCTAAAGCTGAGTCAGGAAGCCTCTCTTAGATGAAGCGCTTGCTTGCCTCTAACAAGCAGAGCAGACCCGAGAACACAGCGAGTCTAGTTGCCATCAAACAAATCGTAGCACTTTACTCCAAATGCTCTATTCAAAAGCTCTGTCTCCCGCAGGAGCCAGACAGAGATCGCAATGGTGGCACAGCCCCAGGAAGTCACGCTTTAAAATGACACAGCATTTTTTCTGCTCCTGTTGCCGAATCAGGAAATCTCTCTAGAGCACGCCACCAACAAACAGCAAAAATCTGTGTTAAACTCTCTCTCCCTTATTTTTAAGCCTTCTCAGGTTTTTTAAATGGGTTTAGTTGTCCACACGTCTGGGCGCCAACTGTAGTAATGGGGGCGGCGGGGCTGCGTTCCCAGCACCCCGGCCGCCTGCTCGGCTAGCTTATGCCCCAAAATAATTACACAGACACTGTATTCTTTTAAGCACTGCTTGGCCCTTTTAGCTCTAGCACTTACAGGCTAATTCTCACATCCCGATCAACCCATCTCTAATAATCTGTGAGAACCGGTCTTACCGGGAAGATTCTAGCCTAGTCCATCCTGGGTCGGAGCTTCATGCCGGGAGCGGGGCATGGCGTCTCTCTCAGGCGTCTGCTCCCGAGAGAGCTGTGGAGTCTCTGAGCTCACTTCCTCTTTCTCCCAGCGTTCTGTTCTGTTTACTCCTCCCACCTATCCTCTAACCAATAAAATGGGCCAGGGCAGTTCCTTTATTAGCCAATGAGCTTCCTCCATCAAAGAGCAGCAAAGGAAAAAGGTCAAGTAACATATAAAGGCAAACCTATCAGAATTACACCTGACTCCTCAATGGAAACCATGAAAGCCAGAAGGTCCTGGATAGACGTGCTGCAGAAACTAAGAAACCATGGATGCAAGCCCAGACTACTATACCCAGCAAAGATTTCTTTCACCATCAATGGAGGAAACAAGGTATTCCAGTAGAAAACAAATTCAAACAATATGTAGACACCAACCAGCCTTACAGAAAGTAATTGGAAGGAAAATCACAACCTAAAGAGTCCAACAACACCCACAATAATGTAGACATCTAACAACCCTCCACAAGCACAATCCAAAGAAGGGAAACACACAAACTCTACCACCAAAAAAGATAACCGGAGTTAACAACCACTGGTCATTAATATCACTTAATATCAATGGTCTCAATTCACCTATAAAAAGGAAGAGGTTAAGTGAATGAATGAGAAAGAAGGATCCAACATTCTGTTGCTTAAAAGAAACACACCTCAACCACAAAGACAGACATTTACTCAGAGTAAACAGACACAGAGGAAATTCAGAGAATCATTAGATCTTACTACAAAAGCCTGTATGACACAAAATTGGAAAATGTAAAAGAAATGGACACTTTTTTTAGATAAGTACCATATACCAAAGTTAAACCAGGACCAGGTGAACAATCTAAATAGATCTGTTAGTCACGAAGAATTAGAAGCTGTTATCAAAAACCTCCCTACCAAAAAAAGCCCAGGTCCAGACAGTTTCAATGCAGAATTCTACCAGAACTTCCAAGAAGACCTAATACCTATACTCCTTAAGGTATTTCACAATAGAGAAACAGAAAAGTCATTGCCAAATTCCTTTTATGAAGCTACAGTTACCCTGATACCAAAACCACAGAAAGACTCAACCAAAAAAGAGAATGACAGGCCAATCTCACTCATGAACACTGATGTGAAAATCCTCAATAAAATATTGGCAAACCGAATCCAAGAACAAATTAGAAAAATTATCCATGATGATCAAGTAGGCTTCATCCCAGGGATGCAGGGCTGGTTCAAACATACGAAAATCTATCAATGTAATCCATCATATAAATAAACTGAAAGAAAAAAAACCCCATATGATCATTTCATTGGATGCTGAAAAAGCATTTGACAAAATTCAACATCCCTTTATGATAAAGGTCTTGGAGAGATTAGGGATACAAGGGTCATACCTAACTATAATAAAAGGTATTTATAGCAAGCTGACATCTAACATCAAATCAAATGGAGAGAAACTCAAAGCCATCCCACTAAAATCAGGAACAAGACAAGGCTGTCTGCTCTCTCCATACCTCTTCAATATAGTACTTGAAGTTCTAGCAATAGCAATAAGACAACATAAGGGGATCAAGGGGACTCAAATTGGAAAGGAAGAAGTTAAACGTTCCTTATTTGCAGATGATATGATAAGTGTACATAAGCGACCCCAAAAACTCTGCCAAAGAACTCCTACAGCTGATAAACACCTTCAGTAACATGGCAGGATACAAGATCAATTCCAAAAAATCAGTTTCCCTCCTATACACAAAGGATAAGGAAGCAGAGAGGGAAATCAGAGAAGCATCACTTTTACCATATCCACAAATAGCATAAAATATCTTGGGGTAACTCTAACCAAGGAAGTGAAGGATCTATTTGAAAAGAACTTTAAGTCTTTGTAGAAAGAAATTGAGGAGGATACCAGAAAATGGAAGGATCTCCCTTGCTCTTGGATTAGGAGGATCAACATAGTGAAAATGGCAATTCTACCAAAAGCAATCTATAGATTCAATGCAATCCCCATCAAAATCCTTCACAGATCTTGAGAGGACAAAATCAACTTTACATGGAAAAACAAAAAAACCAGGATAGCCAAAACAATCTTATACAATAAAGTAATTTCTGGAGGCATTACCATCCCTGACTTCAAATTCTATTACAGAGCTTCAGTATTGAAAACAGCTTGGTATTGGCATAAAAAAGGGAAGTCGACCAATGGAATCGAATAGAAGACCCACAAACCTATGAACACCTGATTTTCGATAAAGGAGCTAAAAGTATACAATGGAAAAAAGAGAGCATCTTCAACAAATTGTGCTGGCAAAACTGGATGTCAACCTGTAGAAGAATGAAAATAGATCCATATCTATCACCATGCACAAAACTCAAGTCAAAATGGATTAAAGACCTCAATATCAGTCTGAACACACTGAACCTGATAGAAGAGAAAGTGGGAAGTACTCTACAGCATATGGGCACAGGAGATCACTTCCCACGTATATCCACAGCAGAACAGACATTAAAGACAACATTGAATAAATGGGACCTCCTGAAACTGAGAAGCTTCTGTAAAGCAAAGGACACTGTCACTAAGACAAAAAGGCAACCCACTGACTGGGAGAAGATCTTCACCAACCCTGCAACAGACAAAGGTCTGATCTCCAAAATATATAGAGAACTCAAGAAACTAGACTTTAAAATGCTAATTAACCCAATTAAAAAATGGGGCACTGAACTGAACAGAGAATTTTCAACAGAAGAAATTCAAATGACCAAAAGACACTTAGGTCATGCTCAACCTCCTTAGCCATCAGGGAAATGCAAGTTAAAACAACTTTGGGATATCATCTTACACCTGTCAGAATGGCTAAAATCAAAAACACCAATGATAGCCTTTGCTGGAGAGGTTGTGGAGCAAGGGGTACACTCATCCATTGCTGGTGGGAATGAAAACTTGTGCAACCACTCTGGAAGTCAGTGTTTCGGTTTCTCAGGAAATTCGGGATCAACCTACCCCTGGACCCAGCAATACCACTCTTGGGAATATACCCAAGAGATGCCCTATCATATGACAAAAGCATTTGTTAAACTATGTTCATAGCAGCATTATTTGTAATAGCCAGAACCTGGAAACTATCTAGATGCCCTTCAATGGAGGAATAGATGAAGAAAGTGTGGAATATATACATATTAGAGTACTACGCAGCGGTAAAAAAACGACATTGTGAATTTTGCATGCAAATGGATGGAAATAGAAAACACTATCCTGTGGTATCCCAGACCCAAAAAGATGAACATGGGATGTACTCACTCATAATTGGTTTCTAGCCATAAATAAAGGACATTGAGCCTATAATTTGTGATCCTAGAGAAGCTAAATAAGAAGGTGAACCCCCCAAAAAAACATATAGTCATCTGCCTGGATATGGGAAGTAGTCAAGCTTGCCGAGCAAAAACTGGGAACATGGGGGTGTAGTGACATGGGGCTAAGGGAAAATGGGGGTGAGAAACGTGAGAAGGGGAGGATGGATTGAGCTTGGGGGAATGGGATGGTGGGGATAAAGGAAGGGTGGATATGGGAGCAGAGAAATATATATCCTAATTAAGGGATCCATCTTAGGGTTGGCAAGAGACTTGACTCCAGAGGGGCTCGCAGGTGTCCAGGGAGATGTTCCCAGATAGTACCTTGGGCAACTGAGGAAAGGGAACCTGAAATGACCCTATCCTATAGCCATACTGATGGATATCTTGTATATCACCTTAGAACCTTCATCTGGCGATGGATCGAGAAAGAGACACAGACCCAAATTGGAGTACCAGACTGAGCTCCTAAGTTTCAAATGAGGAGCAGAAGGAGGGAGAACATGATCAAGGAAGTCAGGACCACAAGGGGTGCACCCACCCACTGTGACAGTGGAATTGATCTATTGGGTGCTCACCAAGGCCAGCAGGATTGGGACTGAATAAGCATGGGATGAGACCAGACTCTCTGAACATGGCGGACAATGAAGACTGATGAGAAGCCAAGGACAATGGCACTAGGTTTCTATCCTAATGCATGAAGTGGCTTTGTGGGAGCCTAGCCTGTTTGGATGCTCACCTTCCTGGACCTGGATAGACATGGGAGGACCTTGGACTTCCCGCAGGGCAGGGAATCTGGACTGTTCTTCAGTCTCCAGAGGGAGAGGGAATGGAGTGGGGGGAGGGGGAGATGAGTAGGGAGTGGGGGAAGGGAGTGGGGGGAGGGGGAGATGAGTAGGGAGAGGGGGAAGGGAGTGGGGGAGGGGAGATGTGTGGGAGGAGGTGGAGGGAAATGGGAAATGGGGAGGAAGCGGAATTTTTTTTCAACAACCAAAAAAAAAATAAACAAAAAAAGACCTAATGATTCTCTTAATTTCCTCAGTGTCTGTTGTTATATCCCCCTTTTCATTTCTGATTTTGTTAATTTGGATATTCTCTCTCTTCATTTTGATTAGTTTGGATAAGGGTTTCTCAAACAACCAGTTTTTTGTTAAATTGATTCTTTGAATTGTTTTCTGTGTTTCTATTTTGTTGATTTCAGCCATCAATTTGATTATTTCTTCTCTTTTAGTCCTTTTGGATGAGTCTGCTTTTTTTTTTCTAGAGCTTTCAGTTGTGCTGAAAAGTCGCTAATGTGAGCTTTCTCTGTTTTCTTTATATGGGCACTTAGTGCTATGAACTTTCCTCTTAGCACTGCTTTCATATTGTCCAATAGGTTTGGGTATGTTGTGTCTTTATTTTTGTTGAATTCAAGGAAGACTTTAATTTCTTCCTTTATTTCTTCCCTGACCCAGGGGTGGTTCAGTAGTTGATTGTTCAGTTTCCATGAGTATGTAGGCTTTCTGGGGGTTGAATTTTTGTTAAATTCTAACTTTATTCCATGGTGATCTGATAAGACACTGGTGGTTATTAAAATTTTTTTGTATCTTAGAAGTTTGCTTTGTTACCAAGTATGTAATCAATTTTCGAGAAGGTTCCATAAGATGCTGAGAAAAAGCTATATTCTTTCCTATTTGGGTGGAATGTTCTATAGATGACTTTAAGTCCATTTGGTTCATTACCTCCATTAGTTCTCTTATTTCTGTTAGGTTTCTGTCTGGTTGACCTGTCTATTGGTGAGAGAGGAGTGTTGAAGTCTCCTACTATTAGTGTGTGCGGTTTGATATGTGTTTTGAGTTCAAGTAATGTTTCTTTTACATATGTTGGTGCTTTTATATTAGGGGCATAGATATTCAGGATTGAGACTTTGTCCAGATGATTAGTTCCTGTTATGAGTATAAAATATCCCTCTCCATCTCTTCTGATTGATTTTAGTTTGAAGTCAACTTTGTTAGAAATTAGTATGGCCACAATTGCTTGTTTCTTAGGTCCATTTGCTTGATAAACCTTTTCCCAGCCCTTTACTCTGAGTAGATGTCTATCTTTGTGGTTGAGGTGTGTTTCTTGTAAACAGAAGAATGTTGGATCCTGTTTTCGTATCCAATCTCTTAGCCTGTGCCTCTTTATAGGTGAGTTGAGTCCATTGATATTAAGTGATATTAATGACCAGTGTTTGTTAACTCCTGTCATTTTTTCTTTTTTTGGTAGTAGAGTTTGTGTGTTTCCCTTCTTCTAGTTGTGCTGGTGAAGGATCATTAGATGTCTGAGTTATTGTGGGTATTGTTGGACTCCTTTGTTTGTGATTTTCCTTCTATTACTTTCTGTAAGGCTGGATTTGTAGCTATGTAGTATTTAAATTTGTTTTTATCCTGGAAAAAATTTGTTTTCTCCATTTATAGTGAACGAAAGTTTGGCTGGGTATAGTAGTCTGGGCTTACATCCATTGTCTCTTAGTTTTTGCAGTACATCTATCCAGGACCCTCTGGCTTTCATGGTTTCCATAGAGAAGTCAGGTGTAAGTCTGATAGGTTTACCTTTATAAGTAACTTGACCTTTTTCCTTTGCAGCTCTTAACATTCTTTCTTTATTCTGTAGGTTTTGTGTTTTGATTATTATGTGGTGTGGAAATGTTTTTTTTTTATCCATTCTATTCAGTGTTCTGTATGCTTCTTGAATCTTCAAAGGAATATCTTTCTTTAGGTTGCGAAAGTTTTCTTATATAACTTTATTAAATATATTTTCTGGACCGTTGAACTGTACTACTTCTCCTTCTTCACTTATTATTCTTAGGTTTGGTCTTTTTATTGTGTCCCAGATTTCCTGAATGTTTTGTGATGAGAATTTGTTGGTTTTGCTGTTTTCTTTGATCAGTGTGTTTATTTTCTCTATGGTATCTTCAGTGTCTGACATTCTTTCTTCTATCTCTTGTAATTTGTTTTTAGTACTTGTCTCTGTAGTTCCTGTTCGTTTACCCAGATTTTCCATCTCAATTCTTCCCTCGGTTTGTGCTTTCTTCATTGCTTCCATTTCATTCTTCAAGTCTTGAACCGCTTCCCTAACCTGTTTGATTGCTTTTTCTTGTTTCTCTTGGTTTTCTTGCGTGTCTTTGAGCGATTTATTCATTTCCTCTACCTTTTTGTTTGTAATCTCTAATTGTTTATGGCAGTTTTTCACCTCCTGTTTAAGGTCCTATATTATTTTCATATTTTCACTTTTGAGTCGATTTCTTCTAATTCTCCTGGAGTAGGGTGTACAATTCTTCTTATTTCGGGATCCCTGGATTCTGGTGATGTCGTGTTGCTTTTCAGGTTGTTGGAGAAATTCTTGCATTGGCGCCTTCCCATCTCTTCCTTCAAATGGAGCCAGGAGAGGCCTGGTGTCTTGGTCAAGTCTTTGCTGTGACTGACTCTCTGGGTGTATCTCCTCAGTGTAGAAGCAGGAACCGTTCCCGTCCAGATGGAACTCCTCAGCACCAAAACATGGACACCTGGTATTCTATGACCTGCGGACAAAAGGGCGAATGTGGGGGGCAGGTCGTGGTTGAGTAGAACACAGGAGACCCTGCAGCGCAAGCTGAGGGTGCCCACGCTCCCTTGTAGAGGACCTTGAGGCCTGCCCAGTAGGCAGGCACTCACCACTCTGGGTGTTTAGCCTTAGTGTGGGAGCGGAAAACTGTTCTTGAGCAAAGGACCTAGCAGATAGCAGGGCAGGCTTGGGGGGTGGTGCTGGGGAGCTGGGTCGTGTGTAAGAAAGTTAGCCCTGCAGCAGAAGCTGGGGGAGGGGGTTTTGTGCTCTCTTCCGGGACAGTCTGCCCCTGGATAGTACACACTCACCTGTCCAGATGGAACTCCTCAGCACCTAAACAGGGACGCCTGGTAGCCCAATGAGCCAGGGACAAAACGAAGCTGATATGCCTTTCTTGAAACCATACAGAATGCTGCCAGAGAACCCTGAATGCTGAGAGAGAGTCAAAGTCGAATCATTAGGTCTTACTACAAAAATCTGTACTCCACAAATTGGAAAATGTGAAATAAATGAACATTTTTTTAAGATAGATATCATATACCAAAATTAAATCAAGTCCATGTGAGTAATTTAAATAGACCTATAAGCTGCAAGGAAATAGAAGCTGTCATCAAAAACCTCCCCCCCCCCCAAAAAAAAGCCCAGGTCTGGATTGTTTTAGTGTAGAATTCTACTAAAACTTTCAAGAAGAGCTAATACCTATACTCGTCCCAGTGTTTCACATAATAGAAACAGATGGGTCATTGCCAAACTCTTTTTATGAAGCTACAGTTACCTTGATACCAAAACCACACAAAGAGTCAACCAAGAAAGAGAATTACAGACCCATCTCACTCATGAACATGAATGTAAAAATTCTCAATAAAGTACTGGCAAACCAAATACAAGAACACATAAAAAAAATCATCCACCATGATCAAATAGGCTTCATCCCAGAGATGCAGGGCTGGTTCAACATAGAAAAAAATCTATCAATGTAATACATCATATAAATAAACTGAAATAAAAAACCATATGATCATTTCATTAGATGCTGAAAACGCATTTGACAAAATCCAATACCCCTTCATGATAAAGGTCTTGGAGAGATTAGGGATACAAAGATCATATTTAAATATAATAAAAAATACAGCAAGTCGACAGCTAACATTAATTTAAATGGAGAGAAACTCAAAGTGATTCCACTAAAATCAGAAACAAGATAAGGCTGTCCTCTCTCTCCATATCTCTTCAGCATAGTTCTTGAAAATTTAGCAATAGCAATAAGACAACATAAGGAGATTAAGGAGATTCACATTGGAAAGGAAAAAGTCAAATTTCATTATTTGCAGATGATATGATAGTGTACATAAGTGACCCCAAGAACTCTACCAGAGAACTCCTACAGATGATAAATACCTTCAGTGATGTGGCAGGATACAAAATCAACTAAAAAAATCAGTAGCCCTCCTACACACAAATGATAAAAATGCTGAGAGGGAAATCAGAGAAACATCATCTTTTATAATAACCACAATTAACATAAAATATCTTGTGGTAACACTAACCAAGGAAGTGAAAGACCTATTTAACAATTACTCTAAGTCTTTGAAGAAAAAAAAAATTGAAGAAGAAAACAGAAAATGGGAAGATCTCCCATGCTCTTGGATAGGTAGGATCAACATAATAAAAATGGGCATCCTACCAACAGCAGTCTATAGATTCAATGCAATCCCCATCAAAATCCCAACAAAATTCTTCACAGACCTTGAAAGAATAATTCTCAACTTCATATGTAAAAACAAAAAACCTAGGGTAGCCAAAACAATCCTATACAATAAAGGGACTTCTAGAGGCATTACCATCCCTGACATCGAGCTCTATTACAGAGCTACA